AAAGAAAGAAAGAAAGAAAGAAAGAAAGAAAGAAAGAAAGAAAGAAAGAAAGAAAGAAAAAAAGGACAGAAGGAGAAGGGGAAACATCATCCCTCATTCCTTTTGAAATCTTATTTTAATATTTTGTTCTTCATTATCCTTCATGAACTGTGATTTTCCTAGATAGTTAGGCATAAACTTACGGAACCCATCTGCTACCCAGTCATTCCTAACTGTGGACATTCCTTCCAATATCTGGGAAATATGAAAATCTACATCATTCTGAATCTGAGAGCCAAACTAATGTTTCTTTCTGAACGTGTCTCAAAATCTGTCTCCTGACTATTTGAATTAGATAAAGGGAATTTATAAGCTATGGCACATAGATCTCTATTTCAAAATTTATGAGAGACAACTTTCAAGAGAAATATCATAGATCATATATAAGTTAAAAAAAAATAAAAATCATTTTGGAGTGATTTTATTATATAATAGTTTAAGAATCTTTTTCTTTTCTCATCACATGAATGTGAAGTGCTGGGTAGAGGTATAAAAGGGCATCCTCTCCTGAAATAAATGATTATGCTTTTGCCACTTGCCTGACTCCCGGCGTCTGTGTCATTGACTTTGCACCAGCTCACCCCTACCCCCAAGGGTCCCAGGCCTGGATTCAAACAACACGACTAGAGGATGTGAAAGTATCTTTTATTCACCTGAAGTTATTGTTGTCTTGGATGCTTACTGCCTCATCGGCTAACCTAGGCCTAGTCCTGGAAGCTTTTAGCCTCCATACAATATAATCTAGAGAGAGAATGTTTTGGCCTCTGAGACTTACTGCTGAATACACTTAGCCTTTCTAACTTTTTTCTGAACTTTTCTTAGCTTGTTCAACTCAGCTGTTCTGGCTCAAACTTCTCTCCAAGCTGACTGCTTCTAAGTCTTCTCTCAGCTTCTCAATGAATTGTTCTGCTTGACCTCAAACTAACTCTAGCAATCTGTTCTAATTTTCTGGTTTCTTCACATTCTCTGGCTCATTTGTCTTCACCTATGTCTATCTTGTTCTCTTTACAACCTGTTTCTGTAAAACCGTCCTGGTAAAACTACCTCATCTCTCTATCCCCTTCTCTTTCCTATCTCTGTTCTCATGAGGGTTGGGCATATTCTATTTTGTCAAAATCTTTCTCTGATTCATCACTTTGTCTGCATCTCAATTAGACATCACTGTCACACATAACTATTTCCTTCTACCAACTAACCTTACCTACACTGTTAGGGATTAGGAGTGTGTACTAAGGTGGTATCTGTATTCCAGCTAGATCATACTCTAAAAGAATTGGTGTGAACTCAGAACTTGGGTACTTGCCTTTCAAGTGAAAAGCCCTAAGAACCATCTCTAACAAAGCAAAATTAATTGAATATTTAAAAAGACAAATTTCAGCAAAGTATTAGACAGAATTTCAGGCACTAGAGAATACTTTATTATTGTTGTTAAAGGTAAACATGTTATAGGTAAAATGGATAACTTGGAAATGATTTAAAATTAAGATTTTAGATCACTTGGGGGGAACAGACTTACAGGCCACAGAGGAAGACTATAAAAGACAGCACTGATGAGATCTGATAGGCTAGGGTCAGATGGAAGAGGAGGAGGTCCTCCCCTATCAGTGGACTGGAGAAGGGGCATGGGGGAGATGAGGGAGAAAAAGATGGTGGGATTGGGAGGGGACAAGGGTAGGGAATACAGCTGGGATATAAGCTGAGTAAATTGTAATAAATAAAAAATTATATAAAAACATGATAAAGGGTACAAAATGTTTA